GCTTCACTATCTTGAACAGGCGAGCCGAACATATTAATCGAGCCGCCACTTTGATTTCGTCCATTCCACGAACAATGCTATGAACGAGAGAATGGCTTCATTCTCCGAAAATGGCTGTTGCCTCTCCCCACGTCGTCATCTTTGTCCCTTGGTGTCGCATCTTAGAAATTATTATCCATCGGAGGAAACTCTAAAAAATTCTTATCCACTCGCAACTTGACTCTTTCGCTCTTATTGGGGAAACGTGGCGGCCACCGGGAGTAGAAGAGTGCACCGGGCCTTTCTCAGAAAACCAGAGTGGGACTTCGGAAAATGGGAATAAAACAAAGGTTATGGGGTGGGAGTAAAGTTGTTACGATGATGCGTATGGAACAGAGATCACATGCTCCTAATCATTGAAAATAAATGTGATCTCTCGTGGCCCCTTAGATTGTTCAATACTGGACCATTTTGCTGAAGTTCGATGATAATGCGAAAGTATAGCCTATATGAATGAACTATTACTCGCTTGAGATGCAAAATAAGTGTTCAAGCCAAAAATTTGCATGGAAAAGTTATCACAAGGATGCTGCTTATGAAGAACACTTTGCCTGAGACGAGTATTGAACTCCACCTCTGACTTTCCGGTCATGGACGGCCATTCATAGATAAAATGTTCTCCTATGGTCATGAATTTCGTGTTTCCGTTCTTGTTTGACGAAAAGAACTAGAGTTCATACAAATAGAGCCGGACGAAGTTTTTGATGTTCCTGTTTTGGAATACGTCACACACGTTTCATCAAAACTTTTATGAAACTTTATTGGCATTTGGATGGCAGCGGACCACTCGATAAACTGTTATCACCATCATATGGACTTGCATTGCACTTTATCATGGGCCGTACTGTGTGGTAGTTCCGAAATGAAATTCGCCGACAACTAAATGTTTGTGAGAGAGGCTACTTCACGTGGCCATTTTCTCGATGTCAAATTCTTGCTAGGGAAGTGTAGACACGCTTCATATTCATGGAAGCGTCGGGTCGCTCCCGCGCTGATCATACCGCTAGCTCCGCGGCACGCTCACTCCTAGTCTGAGACTCTAGCCGTTTATCAGAGAGAGAGAGGGAGAGAGAGAGACAGCGATAGAGCGTTACCGTTGAAAGGAAGCAGCAACAACAGTAACATCAATGCGAAAATCAACGAACAAAAAGAGGTCCATTTCTTGATCCTGAGCCGTTTCTCATGGTTTTTCTTCATGCCTGCACCACTCCCACCTTTACCTTGATCATTTGCTGCCTTCATCGCAAACGCCGCCTCTGACAGCCGGTATCATCAGCGCCTCAACTTCGAAAAGGAGTAGAATATAAGAATGAATGATTCTGCACTGCTAGTGTGTAGTATGTGTACAACAATGTTTTGTATTACGTCCACATAATCGGAGCTCACATAGCGGAGCAACTAGCAAGAAACCACCAGACCTTTGAGCACCGTAATCCATGGATGAGTGACAGGGGCGAGTGCACCTCTATCACTGGAGTTTTTTTTTGCCCTGCATTCTACCATGAGCACGTAATACACAGCTCTTTTGCATCCTTCTATTAGCAGTGTGCGATCACTCAGTAGCACTTGGAACTTCTCGTACTGCGAGATGCAAGCACTCGGTGCTGGTGGAACTAAGGTGAGCAAACGGTAGGATTTCGATTCTGTTTGAAGCATTGATTTGAGTCATATCTGGTTGGAAGCAGGTCTCTATTTAAGGCAAGAATCAGGATTAAATTGATGGGGTGATTCCACTCAAATGTGAAAGTAGGGATGGGAGGTGGACCGCCAGTGGAGAAAAAAGGAAAGAAAATCCTGAAATACACAGGAAATACGAGCATTTTGCTCTATGCTGTGGAGAAGTTCAAAAGACAGGCAGGGAGATGAGAGATAATGTGAGCGCGGAGAGCGGTAGAGAAGTCCGAGAAGAGAGAGCATAGCAGATCAACGTGGCGACGCAGACAAGATATCGAACGGTGGGCGGACCATGTTAAGTTTGGTGGAGTCTGTTAACACGTTACATCGCGTGTTTTGGCATTTTGCACCGCGTGGGACAGGAGCGATTTTGCGAGCGCGCCGTCCTCACCTTACTTCCGCTTATTTTTTGTTTAAAATGCACAACAACTTGAATCTCATGGAATTATTTCGGCAAGGATGAAAGCGTAAAGGTTACTATATAAATAGCAGTAGATTTTTGTTTAGAAGGCGCATAATGACCACGAAGAAGCAAAAAACATCACTTTCGCTGCGAATGAAGTTAAAAGCATTTATACCTAAGTTCTTCCATCAAATACAAATATCTTGAAACTCACAGAGTTTTGTATTAACTGCTTCTACAATCTTTCATATGAATGTTTACGACAGTGAAAGGAATACTAGGAAAGAATTGAATGAAAGTTTTGTGCGTTCAGAAAATCTTTGCTAAATCAAGGGATATTTGACCACTCTGGCTGCCATGTGGTTTATAGTTATGCTAATGTATTATCTATAGAATGAATACAAAAAACTCGAGAAGAAGGAGCGCAAGCACAATAAAAATGAATGACATAGTTCTGACGCGCATGCGCGTCAGAATGTCCGATGCGGTGCAAAATTCTGACGCGCATGCGCGTCAGCCTGTCGTCAACGTGTTAAGTCTATGGCGCTTAGGGTCCTAGTGGCGCTACCTTTGCATTTGCGTAACCAGTACTTCTAGCCATGGTAAGGGCTTCTTAGGTAAGTCTGAGCCCAAACCTTGCCTTTAAAGCGAGCTACTATAAGATTGGGCTGCGTTCACAGTGGAAGTGCAGATGTTGAACAATGCCCTAGTTTGAAAAAAAGCACAGAAATACGTCGGAACGAGCAAAGGGGACCTCTTTCATTGTGCCCGCTGACCACCGATAATGGACGAGCTGCAACCAATTAAGAGGTCATTTGCACGCGTTAAACCGTCAGCAGCTACCATGCCAACAAAGATCATGCTTTGATTGATAATGCATTCCTAGGATACTAATAGGATACGCTCTCGAAGTGTAATGCCTTGCCTGCAGATACCAATATATAATATTAGGTTGTCTCATAAATAGTGTCGCTTTTTTTCAACCAAAAAATTTTCATCCAAATCCTCATGCTTTTACATCGAGTCATATACCATTCGAAAGAGAATTGTCTGCTCTACAAAATATCGTGTTCTTCTTCCATCTATGTTCCATGGTTTTCAAATTTTAAGCCTGCGAAATGGGAGGTCCCGCCGACAAAAATTGACCAAACCGACAACTAGCTCTAACTTTATGTTCCCTTCGGAGAAATCAATCAATGATGTACCCTCTACTTACTCATGACCTCTTCTGAACATTCCACCCTTAGGTTGCCGAAAAAGGTTTGCCCTGTTTCTTTTCGAATTGGCCGACCGATAAGCCATGGCAATTTTCAAATTGAAATTCTTCCTCTGAAACGCTATTGTTTTATATCAACTGGTATCTTTTGTGAGCACTTCTTCTGCTTTATTCGCTCATTTGTTTTGTTTTGATGTTTGTTAGGAATTAGCTCGAATTTTAGGGTTTAGGAGTAAGGTGCTTTGTCCACAAAAGTGACCGCATTTCTTTGAAAGAAATTATCCTTGAGAAGATGAGAAAATCAACCAGGCGTACATTCCTAACTTAGTCATGACTTGTTCTTGAAATTCTACTAGTTTTTCAATGTCTCGGCTGTAAAAAAATTTCGACCTCGATCTCAGGTAATGGTGCTCGACCGTCGAGTTCTGGTTGAAAAACCAGGTCTGGAAATGGAATGACGCGACTTGTTGGGAAACCTAATAGTGTAATGTTAGAAGAGGTCATGCATAAGTAGAGGGTACATCATTGATTGATTTCTCCGAAGGGAACATAAAGTTAGAGCTAGTTGTCGGTTTGGTCAATTTTTGTCGGCGGGACCTCCCATTTCGCATGCCTCAAATTTGAAAACCATTGAACATAGATGGAAGAAGAACACGATATTTTGTAGAGCAGACAATTCTCTTTTGAATGGTATATAACTCTCTGTAAAAGCATGGGGATTTAGATCAAAATTTTCTGGTTGAAAAAAAGCGACACTATTTATGAGACAACCTAATATTGGACAGTCATGCTGCCGGCAACACACTAATGGGCGGGGCACAGACGGAAGCGAAGCTGAGGACAGGCAGCCCCATGGTGTTGCAACCAAGGTAAACGGTCCGCTCGTACTATTCGAACGAGGGGATCGCATTTCCGATTTCGGCAAGGGGGCATCGCATTTTGGGCTTGAAGAAGGTTAATGATCTGTGGCGAAAGGAAAGTAGTAAAAAATAGGCGAAATTTGCCGCTCGCTTCGTGATATTTTACTTCCCCACCCCCCTCCGAGAATTGATTTGGGTACGGAGGGGGTCGAATTGGGGGAGCCTCCTAAGTCTCATGACGGGGCGACCTCTGGAACATCAGACATGGTAAAAATTTCGTCACTATAAAAAGCCTGTCTGGAAAGAAACACCGACTATGTATATCAACAAATGCCCAGGATTCAAAATAGCCAAGCTCTGATAACCATTTACCCTCCTTTCAAAAAGCGAGAAAGTGTCGGGTGCAGACCATACACCACAAGTGACGACGGCCTCCACAAAATGTAAATGTTTTCTGCCAATGAAATGATTAGCCTGTTGCAGTTGTATTCTATCAGTTGTCACTAATTACAACTATCATTTACCAAAAATCAGCTATCACTATGAACCACTACTAACCAGATTTACTTGGAGGCCGTCGTCACTTGTGGTGTATGGTCTGCACCGCACATTTCTGGCTTTTTGAAGGGGAGGGTACATGCATGCGCATATAAATAGAGTTCACCTGAGTTTTTCTGCAGCATTGCCATCACTTTATAGACATGAAGACGTCTTTATTAGCAATCAAAACAAAAGTACTCCGCAAAACAAAAGTGGCATAGAAAGTCGCCGTTTAGAAGACTGGTGTTGCCGTCATCGACATTCCCGTTCACCGTGAGGAATCAGATAGCCTGAAAAAAGACTGGTGGAGACTGTGCCTGATTGCAACTACACACTGACCGTTTTTGTTCGCCCCGAAGGACGCGAATGTGCATGTGAATCTTACGTACCTTCGTGTGCGTCCACTTATCCCTCCTCGATAAAATGGAGAACCATTGGTGACGGAGAAGTCTACTCGAACTCTCATTCCGTCGATACGTGCGTCTTTGAGCTCTGCTTTGGCCTTAAAGGCTTGCTATAAGGAGTATTTGGGTTTCGAAACTTCAAGAATTCAGTTAAGGGAGATCTTGGAGCAATATAGAAAGGTTGGAAAGAAAAAGTCCTCTTCGCGAAAACACTAGGTGTTTTTTGGTCTAGAGCGGAGCGTTTACTTTATTTTGTTGTTAGCGTACCAATGTGAGCTGTACAGGAATCATCTGCAGAAATAGGATCAACATAGGAACAAGCTGAATCAATAAGAATATTTTGGACGCTGCCGATTACAGTCTGGGACGGTAGTCCTGTTTATAATGCTGTGACTAAAAAAAGAGGTGCTGGAAAATGGGTAGGATATACTACCATATTCACTTACCGCTGCAGCGTCCCGCGTTCTATGGTAGTAGACAAAACCAAACCCGCGGCTTCTTCCCGTTACATGATCACGAACAATTTTTATCTAAAAAAAACCTTTTTTCACATTATCAAAAGACATCTTAATGGACTTTTGCAAAAGAAATAACAACGGAGGTTAATCAGGCCGACATACGTAGTCAATTTCTCCAAATTCGCCAAAAATGTTCTCCAAATCCCGTTCCGAAGTATCGACGTTCATTCCAAAGATGCCAACGCATCTGACGAGTGCTCATATTACCATAGCTTTGGCGTTAGCCAATGGACATAGATCTAAGGTTGACCCGACCAATCTGAAGCGACTAACCTGCAGGGGCGGGCATCTTCACGTCCGTCTCGAAATCTCGATCTGTAGTGGTCACGTGGTGGTGAACGAGAGCGACTTAAACGGCCGCTTCTGTTGTGAAATGTCTCGTAAATGAATAGCTACACAATATTATGAAGGGTGTACAAGGTCACGGCGCGTCGTTGCGCATATATTCAGTTCACGTTTCAGAGCCAAAGTTCGCAGTAAGGTATGCGGGCAGCGTTGCGCGAGCGTTCGTGCTTAAAATTTTCCTTTTTCAAACAAGATGCGACGCGAAGTGTGAGCTCTGCATAAGGATAATCGTGGTCATACCGCCAAAACGTTTTCTGCACGACCCGCTCGCGCAAGCTCCGCCCAGTGATCCCACAAGGCGGCCCACCCTCAAATGGCGTGCAAGTTTTGAGTGCTGGTGTGCGTACGTCGTGCGGTGACCTCTTCTACACAACCCAAGACACCATAATTCATACATCGATTCTTGCTTAACACTCGCTGTGTTTTCAGTCAATTATGATGACTCTTATGCGAGTTATGAAGCACTATATTTGATCATCGCACACAAACTTCGTTGTCCGCGCCAGCTATAATGTAAAGTTAGTGCAAAAGCACAATGTGACCATTACCGTCTTCCTTATTCTCGGTTGCGGATGACTGAGGATTTTGTTTGATGAGTTTGGACTTGCTATTGATGCTATTGATCCGTATTGATTTGCTTTGCGTTCTATGACTGATTGTAATGCTCATGATCTCGATTGATTCATATCTCCGGTTGTAATTGTCGATTACTGTCTACACATTGTGCATTGTAGATTTGGTACTATCGACGACCCTAGCTCAAAACAGCGTTGAAGGGATCAGAAGTGAGGCTTATTGCGACACGTTATCACACCTGCAACGTTATTCTAATATGAATCGTAAGATAGGCTGTCTGTTACCATGAAATTTTGCAGCCCATTCAGGACCTGGAACACCACTTTTAATTCGCGGAGGCTTGCGATGGGGAGGCGGAAGCTACTTATTTAAACAGTAATGTGTACTACCGTTAAACACGACTCCTTGTATTTGCAGAGTTATCGGCCCGTTTAGCCGAGTTGAACGGGGAAGGGCCATATTTAGCCCACGGAAAATGCTGAAGTCATAACCGCGGTGCGCGTATTTAGAAATTTTGTCTAAATCGAGACTAGATGGTAGCTACAGGCTTACGCTTCGATCATGACACATGTATTAGAACGTTCTGGTCCCACAAGCCGCAACAAAGGGAGATATCCCAATCGCGCTATCCCAATATACGTCATGTCATCTTATCTGAACGTGTGCATTTTGGTCAAGTCGTGGTTACGTACTTGCTAAGACCTGGCTAACGCCTAGAACTCGTTTAAACGGGTATGCCTCAATGCCAGCGATTTCATCCCTTCGCATCCGCTGGCTCTTTCTCATTTTGTAACATCTAATCCTTCGCATCGCAACGCCATCGAAGACACGGTGGGGCCCTTCCAAATAGTAAGAAGCGGACGGGTGATTTTTGAGAAAGAATAAACTGCGCTATCAGGATAGATCAAGCAATTTCTGAAGAGAAAATAAATTGAGCGTTCGAAATTCTTTTAGGGCCCCACATAAGGTCACATTTCATTATTTATGACCCTCTGAATAAGTGCAACCTTCTTATGAAATTTCAATTTTCTTTTGCATAGCAAAAAAAATCGCTGAGTGTGTACGTGAGCTCTGTGAGCTTCTAAATGAAGAAATACAGTAGGTCTCAAGCCAGCTTAAATTTTTCGAAATAAGATTTTCAAGAAGTTAGGCTTGTTTGGAGCTTGAAAAGCCTATACCACACTCTCCTGTCGCCTGACAAGAGAGGTCGTGGGTGTGCGTCCCTTCAAGATGGTTTTTTACGTGCTGTAGGGGATTTCACGTGGACTACAATAATGAATTACATTTTTGCTGAGCTGCCCTTTAAGGACAAAAAGGGTCGATGAGATTTATTAAAGGTGCGTGGTTTTTACAGCCTTGGAGTGATGTGTCGGAATTTAGGCATGATTACCTGCACGTGGAAAGGTTCTGGTAAAGATAATATTGTAATACGCTCAAAATACTTTTTTGAAATACTAATTTGATCTTTTTTGAAATACTAAATACAAAATTTGAAATACTCTTGGTAGTGCTGAAGAAAGTGTAGAGGTTTCAAACTTCTGCGTTTTCGACTGCCATCTAAATCGACACCAAAAGGCTGCAGCGGCAAACCCTATATTCACAATGAGGACCATCAGTGGCTCGTGCGAGTGAGCTTTCTATCGAAAACTGACGGAATAAATTCGAGGCTGACTCCAAAAACGAACGTCATATCTTTGATCCGGACCCTTTACCCCAAGTAGTGTGATCATGCGACAAAGTTCCCCAGCAAGTAATGCTCTGCAGATGGGTGCACTACGGTGGCGGCTGTTAGAAAGAGCCACCGATCACACTTGGGCCGCAGTCAGATTTTGCAAATCCAGCGAATCACGGGCTACAAACGTGCACCAACGACGGTAGTATGGGTAAGTGGTGAGCTTCTCCTGTAAACACGTTGACGTACGTACAGTCGGTATCTCGAACTCTGATTGGGCGTGTCACCGGAAATGACGTGGCAGCCACCGCACTTGATAGATGTTGTGTGGATAAAATACTCCGCCAGATATCAGCAAAGCGTGTTGGAAGCAGCTTATCCGCGCAACTTCTATCAAGTGCGGTGGCTGCCACGTCATTTCCGGTGACACGCCCAATCAGACTTCGAGATTTGGACTGTACAAAGGAAATCTCACCACTTTACCACATTGTCGTGTCGCTGGCGCATTGCTCGTACACGCGATTCACAAAGTTTGACACCGGTCTTATCGAAGAGAAACTGGTCGCGACCATGTGCTAAGCCGTATAGGAATCGTCGCGCTTCAGTTACATGACCTATTACGCTGACAAGCTGTTGCGCATCTCCTATATGACGAGTGACAACACTTTAGTTGGCACGAGTGTCGGCAGTACGCCTTTACCAAACGCCATCGCAATGGTCGCAAGTCTTCACTAATTAACAGTGGTGCCCAACGCCGTGCCGGATGTGACGCGAGTGGTTGCGACGCGATATGACGAATTACTAAGTACATGGGTGTCGGTCAGGAGGCCCACCTTTAGGCGACGTAAAAGCTAGGCTCAGGGCAGTGGCGCCGTAATCACTAATCTTCTGTGCGGAACATAGATCGTATGCTAAACGCTGCCGCAAAGTAACCCCCTGACAGACACCTTTTTCGAGTGTGTCACAAGCACTCGCGTCTCTTCTGACGCCTCACTCGGTGCCCGATGAACCGCACAATCAAACATGTCTATTCAAGCAACGACCAAACACTACCTGTACTCGCGATGTCTTTTCGGCGACGCATCACGATAACGTGCACTGCGTAACGGCGTTCGAGAGGAACTGCGAGATCGTGAACGATTCCTGGAGCGTGAGCGCGAGTATACCCGTATGCGACGCTCTTCGATTCGTGCGAATAAATTATCGCGCGATGATGTCGATGACGTCGACGATTTGGTCTCCTTTGATTTTTCCGTGCTGTAGGATCTGCAAATATACATATTCTTAATGTGAATATTTGCCATGCAAATAAATTTGCATGATATCAGCAGGCTTGTTGTATAGCCATGTTCAAGCTTTTATCAAAAGCTAAGCATCATTCTTTTTTTAAAGCACATTGGGAACTGATTATAACTTTTGCAAAAAGAGCTGCGAAGCCTAATATAGCCCTGAGCGAAATAAACGGAAGGATGATGAGTACCAATACAGGTGTGACATATCAGAGCTTCTGAAACACTTCGCGAAATAAAGCTTTCGTAGGAACCGGCTGTGAGCAAGGAGCAACAAACTATTCATACCCTTTATTTCAGAAAACCAGAGCCCGTCGAGCGCACCATATTACATTTTATGGAGCCCGTCGTCACTTGTGGTGTATGGTCTGCACTCGACGCGCTTCGAATCAAAGACCTCTTCATCATCCAGCTTGACGTCACCATTCACATCGAAATTCAGCCCACGTAGTGCCACGTGATTTTCTGTCTGCAATCGAAACGAGAGTGATCCTCCTGCAGTGACTAACCTCCCGACAATCAAGATCGCGCTGCGACCACGATCCTTCAATAGCTGCTCCCAATTACGCGTGCCAGTGTGTCCTTAATTAAGCAACTTCAACAACGGCTAACCCACCCGACAAACACAGAGCCTAGCCAACACATCAATGCACATTTTTTCTTAATAACCGACTTCCACTAGAAGAAATACACGAATACATCGGCATCCACAGAGATTTAAATCTTCGACCTAACAACGCGACCGCCTCCTGTGACACAAGGAAATGACCCGACAGCTCCGCTCACCTACATATATTACCCCGCTCCTGCTACCTCACAACATAAATCCCCAGATTATCAGAAAAAGAAACAATTCAATCAGCAACAAAACAGTCTCACGCCCCCCGCGCGGCTCAACGCCACCTCCCTACCCCGGTGCCACCAACCCAGACGACCGCTGCACTGCCATTTCCTCGAGCCGTCCGTGACTTTCGATGATACACTGGAGACCTACCTGAAATACCGAAGCAGATCCAATCCGCAATAATTTCTCCAGATGAAATCATTCTCCGTCACCTCAAGGCCCAGTGGGATCAACCTTATGCTCAACCTGATACCACCTGAGTTTTCCACCAAATACATAAGATCCGCGTTTTTAGGTCCGATGTCATTGGTGCTAACTTAGTTGGGGGGGGCACGCGGCGGCGCGGCAGTCTGCTCGCCTGGCATGTTCGGAAATCCGTGGGCCAGGGGGAGTGTAGCCAGTCTAGGGGGTTGGGGGGTGGGGGCAGTCACTTGACATGCGTGAAAAGCTGGAATGTTCGAGTTTACACTGTCTCGTTCGAGAGAGCCCAGGTGAGCAGACTGCCGCGCCGCCGCGTGCCCCCCCCCCCCCAAAGTTAGCACCGGATTGTTTGCGAATCGAGCGATTCGCTAGCGAATCGCTCGATCCGAGCGTTGCGCCAGCGAATCGAACGTTGCACCAGCGAATCGAACTTTGCGCCAGCGAGTCGAACGATGTACCAGCCCTCAAATACGTGCGGACCCAATTCGAGGAAGTCCGCGCACTTTCAAAGGCCCATGCCACGCTGAGCACTGGTTGAAGGCGCCTTCCTTTTGAACCAGGGTCAACCCTATGTTGCTACAAGTAGCAACGGGGGGGTCGTATTTTGATGAGTTTGTAGAGGGGGGTCGTACTTGCTTCGGTTGTAAGAAGTTGCGCATGATGAGTGGGGAGCGGCGCGGGAGAAAATTTGCCGTTTCAGCGCGCGTATATACCCCCCCCCGCGCCCCCCCCCCCCCCCCCCGAGTGGGATTATAGGTAGAAAAATGTGGTGGAAATAGAAGGAATTTTGGGAAATTTTTACTGTTTCAGAGTGACTATATACCCCCCGCTCGACGGCATTTTTGGAGGAAAAAGTGGGCGGGGTTTTGATGGAAGATGGATGGTGGAGGTAGGGAAAAGGGGGTCGTATCAAATCCACCTTGGGGGAGGGGGGTCGTAAAAATTTTTCGAAAAGTAGCAACGATAGGACCGACCCTGCTTTGAACGTTGGTCCCGCCACTATTGAGTCGCTGGTTAGTTCGATTCGCTGGTGCAACGTTCGACTCGCTGGCGCAACGCTCGCATCGAGCGATTCGCTCGATTCGCAAACTATGACGTCGGCCTTAGACGACTTTTACTAACTGCCAGGGCCTCATTTAACTGACTCATGTTTTCCATCAGCGGTGTCCCCCAACTGAGTCCTCTTCTATATGTTCTCTATCTGGTTGGAAGTTTCAGTCATACAAAGCCGCCCTCACTTTGTGTGGTTTTCGCCTTGATATTTCAACCCCAGTTCACTGTTATAGGCACAACCCACGCCCAGGTTCATTGATGCAAATTCTGTTGCGAATGGGGCTGCTCAAGCTCGTAACTGCAGAGCTGGTATCTCCTTCGCCACTCAGTAAGGAAACAAGCTAGGAGCTTAGTACACACATCAGTGCACGCCCCAAGATACGGTGCGCGCCCATTGTTGCGGTATCTGTATATCGCTCCCCGCCACACAATTTTTACCTCCGCCTGTCGTTCTGTCGTATCAGCGCCCATTATTCGCTCATACTCCGGTGTTTCCACGAAGTTGATTTCCTTTTTCTCCATTGTTGGTTCAATTTGCACTTTTGCTTTCAATATGAGTGGCATAAACCCACAAACTTGATCGTGAGTTGTGCCTTTAGTAGCATTTTTGCTTCCAAGTCTCTCTCCCCCCCCCACTTCCCCGGCAGTCAACTGAGCAGTCAGAAAGTTCTATGCGAAAAAGTTTTATTTTGCCTACTTAGCACAAATAAATGAATAGAGATCGCTCACATAATTATTAAAGCTTAAAAATTTAAGAAAGGTTGGCAAAATTTGTAAAACCTAGATAAATAGACAATAAATGAAAAAAAGGATTCGATCATAATAGCAATGAATTGCAAACAAGCGAAACGCCTGGTTGTAAGGGGCATTGGAAATTTTGTCCGCATTATCACCAGTCAGAACCCCCCCCCCCTTCCACGCCCCTTCTGGGGCACGACAACACATTCCCTGCTCTGAAAATGCTTTATAAGAATATAATATCGACGCTCGCGGCCTTGGGGGGACATTCAGAACAGAGCCCGTGGTAGACACACTAGGGTAAGTACAGGTGAAGGAACAAACGCCAGGGAGAACACGAATTGCTCACATCCTTCCCCAGAATTTATCCTCCTCCCTAAGGTTTAGTCCCAAGTACCTGCAAACGCCTACTCACTTGAATGCTCACGTCTCCCCCTCCTCCGAAAAGATATGTGTGGGTGCCATAATATCTATTAATGAAACTCACAGTGTCGCGTTCATAGTCCTGCCTTTCCATGTTTTGCAACAGAGACAATATGGCCTCTTTGTTTGCTAAGAGGAACGACTGCAGACCTAAAAGAGTAGTTTGCTGGATGGAAGCGGGGAAAACGGGATATTGATGGCCGTAAATGGCTTTCAACTGTGAAATGGTTGACTGAATGCCAAAACATTGATACACTTCTGCAGTACAGGTAATCATCCTGATGGATACTACTTATGTAAACAAAGTCGATTCAGTGAGGGGAGGGGTTGACATGAAAGCTGGACGACGTGAAGGGCACAATAACAATGACGTGAAATCATAAAACAGAATACGTGCCAGAACGAGCCGCTACATGGAGCTTGGATTTGCATCACAACCATGAGAATCAATCAATATCAATATTGTTGAAGGCCACCATGCATGTTGCTGAAGTGAAGGACTGATGTGACTACAATGCGCTTACACTGTCACCTTGACATGATCTTGCATGCAGTCTAGAATATTCATTGAGGACGGTGATGGAAAATTACCTAAGTCCTAAATCGATGTTTTGGCGCTCATGGTCGTAGGGTGGATTAAAATCGCTGGTAGGTGACACCAGGACCAAGCCCAAGAGGGGTGGGGGGAACGCGGGGGATAATATGCTCCGCGTCCTTCCCAGAATGTCTAACCCTTCCAGAGGTTAGTCCAAAGTCTGTCTGTGGCTCAATCACTTCAAAGCCCCTTCACAGCATGAGCTCCAAAGTTTTCAATAAAATGTCTCCGGTCACGCTGTAAACTATCTATACAAGCAAAATGAACATTAGCATAAAATACGCTGGGCGTCCCGAGCGGTCCCACAAAGTGGCCGTAATTCCGTGATAGAGGGTTATTCTTACAACTGGGAAATTGGGTAAACTTTTATGATGCTCGGGATAAAGGATAAAGGATAAAGCATTTGCCGTTGATCCCTTTTTGGGATGCGGCACGCATTCTACTTCCATTTGTACATTCGTAGTGGCGTTTGAATGCGATGTGGCCTATACAATGACTTGCGGGGCCAGCCGATGTACAAGTCAGTGTTTTTATCCTCCCAGACAAGTCTGGTACCAATTAACCGACCCCGGAGGGATGGAAGGCTTGGTTGGCCCGGGCGACTCACGACCCAGGATTTGATCCCCGGACCGCTCGCGTGGTAAGCGTGCCACTTGCCACTACACCACTTCCGCCCTTTCTCCTTTAAATGCTCGGGCTGGGAAACGAAATAGCAAGGAAAAGGATTTCATCAAAACCACAAAGCTGAAGTCAGCTGTGCACTTGGAATTTCAATCTGACTCGCAGAGAGAGAAGCTCCTTTTCTAACTTGATAAGACGGCCTCAAATCTGAAGGTTATCCCTACACTAAGCCTACCAAAAGTCCAGCGAATGAGTTCAAATTGACCCGAGGAATTTTCTGTTGTGTGTATTGGGCAAATATAGCAAAACCGATCACTACCTAACTTGAGATTTCAGAAACGCCGAGTGCACTGACTGCGTGTAGAAGCCATGGCACAGTGCAGAAAAGCTAACAATGGAATTTTCGCATTTTCTACCAAGAAATGCGCGCGACAGCTCTGGACTGCTTACTGTGAGAGGACCTGGGCTTCTCGCCGAGAAAAGCGGGAGAGTCGACTACAGATACTCAATCAACAA